TTTCAATATCAAAGTCAGTTAAATTACTGTACCTAAAGTATAGAATCTATTTTAATTGAGTGATATAATGCAGAAATTATCAAACAGTATAATTAATATAACACACAAATAAAATTTTGCTGAAGATAATTCAAAAACATTTGCAGCAATACATCAATAGGGAATTACCAGAAATTCAATCCACATTCAGAAGAGAATATGGAAAGAGGAGTACCCTTGCTAATGGATCTTGGCTGAAAGCAGGTAATATTAGAAAGATATTTATCTGTGTCATATTGACTATGCCAAGGCATTCAATTTTGTGGATCTTAACAAATTATGGATAACATTGTGAAGAATAGGAATTCCATAATACTTAATTGGGTTTATGAAGAACCTACACATAGGCCAATAGGCAGTTATTCAAACAGAACAAGAGGATACTGTGAGATTTAAATTCAGGAAAGTTGTATATCAGGTTGTCTCCTTTCAGCATACTTATTCAATCTGTATGCTAAACAAATAATCTGAGAAAGTGGATTATATGAAGAAGAACACGGCATCAAGATTGAAGGAAGAATCATTAACAATCTGTGATATGGAGATAACAAAACCTTGCTTGCTGAAAGGAAAGAGTATTTGAAGCACTTACTGATGAAGATGAGACAATGCAGCCTTCAGTGTAGACAACACACCTCAACATAAAGAAAACAAAAAAGTTCACAACTGGACTAATAAGCAATTTAATGATAAACAGAGAAAAGACTGACATCAAGAATTTCATTTTACTTGGATCCACAATCAACATCCATGAAAGCAGCAGTCAATAAATCACATAACATATCGAATTGGGCAAATCTGCTGAAAAAAGACCTCTTTAAAGTGTTAAAACACAAATATATCTCTTTGAGGACTAAAGTGTACCTGACCCAAACCATGGTACTTTCAGTTGCCTCATATATAACTGCAGAGTGGTTAGGAACAACTAAGGAAGATGAACTTATCTGTCAGTTTGTCATCCTGTGGTGGCTTGCGTGTTGCTGTGAGGCTGGAGGCTATGCCACTGGTATTGCAAAATGCCACTAGGGTTACCCATGGTGGACAGGTTTCATCGGAGCTTCCAGACTAAGACAGACTCAGAAGAAGGAAGAGGCCATGCACTTCTCAAAAAATTGTCCAGTGAAAACCTTATTAATAGTAGTGAAACACTGTCTGATATATTGATGGAAAAGTTTATGAATAGCCCTAAAACATTGTACAACATAGTGCCAGAAGATAAGCTCATCATGTTAGAAGCCACTCAAAATATGACTGGGGAAGAGCTGACTCCTCAGAGTAAAGAATGACCTTAATGATGAAGTAAAGCTTTTGGGATTTCCATTGGCTGATGTTGCACAACTCGAAATGAGTAGAAACACCTGCAAACATCATTAATAATCAGAACATGGAATGTATGAAATATAAATCTAGGAAAACTGGAACTTGTAAAAAATGAAATGGAATGCTTAAAGATCAATATTCTAGGTACTGTTGTTGTTGTTGTTGTT